GTGTCTCTATGGCCCAGTCCTCAACCTCCTTTTTGTTACACACATGCCCCAGGAAGTAGCCTGTAGCAGCTGTCTTACTCCTAGGTGCCTATTTACTGCTAGGTAAACAGGAGCATCAGGGTGAAAACCTCTGCCCATTTGTTTCTGCCTCCGCCGGGGATCGAACCCGGAACATTAGGACTACAAATCCCGAGCGCTGTCCACTCAGCCATCAGCCCCCTCCCCCAGGCAGGTCAGGTCAGGAATGAAGCGCTCAGGTGCACATTCTCTCAGAACCCACAGTGAAATTCCATCTGGGCCAACTGCTTTGTTTTTATTTAGCTCCTTGAGCATTTTTTCACTTCATCTCTTAGACACCTCCATGTGCTCTATGTTGTTCTCTGGAATTCTTATAGTTGATGGTTCCCTGAAGATTTCATTTTGTACAAACACACTTTGGAACTTTTTGTTTAATGTTTCACACATTTCCTTTTAATTTTCTGTAAATCTGTTTCCCATTTTCAACCTCTGAATATTATCCTTTACCTGCAATTTGTTGTTTATGAATTTACAGAATAGGCCTCGCTCTGTTTTACATTTGTCTGCTATCCTTTTTTCAAAATTTCATTCTGCCTCTCATCTCACTGCCGTGTAGTTGTTTCTTACATCTTTGTATCGTTGGTATGTTTGGGGGTTTGGTGTCTTCCTATATTGATTCCAATTTTATGTCTTTTGTTCTCTGGCCCTCTTACAATTTCTGTTGAACCAATCTTGTTTCCTAGTTCTGCATCTCTACTTTGGTAAAAAATTTTGTGCCTTTATCATATATTTCACAAAACTTGACATACATCTCATTTATTTCATTTCCTAACAGTAATTTGTCTTTACAGTCAAATTCCTTAAAGAAATTTCTAAGTTCCCCATAATGTCCTCTCCTGAAATCAGGTTTTTCAACTGCTTCAACCTCCTTATTTTCTTCTAGATGATAATGCATTGCATACTTTATTCCCAAAAAAGACATGGTCATTTTTACCCAAGGGAGGAAGGTACTGAATGTCTCTTCCTCTTTCCTGGTAAATATCAAATCCAGCATGGAGAGAACATTCCCTTCCCTCATCCTTGTAGCTTGTTTAACATGTTGAAGCATAAATGTTTCCAGGATGGGGAGCCGGTCGGCCGAGCGGACAGCACACTGTTCCCGGGTTCGATCCCGGGCGCCGGTGAGAAACAATTGGCAGAGTTTCTTTCACCCTATGTCCCTGTTACCTAGCAGTAAAATAGGTACCTAGGTGTTAGTCAGCTGTCACGGGTTGCTTCCTGGGGGAGGAGGCCTGGTCGAGGACCGGGCCGTGGGGACACTAAAAGCCTCGAAATCATCTCAAGATAACCTCAAGATAAGGATGAGGTTTACAAATCTACAGGTCCAAAAATCCTCTGCTCTAGCTTCATATGCCTTCCAGTCTATGGATTTCAAGTTGAAGTCACCAACTACCAACAGTCGTGATCTATCTTTATCTACTCTGACTATAATCTCTCTCATTGGTGTTATAAGACCCTCTCGTTTATTATCCAGCTCCTCCTTTGTCCATGTGTTACATGGCGGTAAACTATATGCATTTATGATACCTTACCTTGAGGTTACCTTGAGATATTCCGGGGCTTAGCGTTCCCGCGTCCCGGTCGTTGACCAGGCCTCCTCATTGCTGGATTGGTCAACCAGGCTGTTGGATGCGGCTGCTCGCAGCCTGTCGTATGAATCACAGCCTGGTTGATCAGGTATCCTTTGGAGGTGCTTATCCAGTTCTCTCTTGAACACTGTGAGGGGTCGGCCAGTTATGCCCCTTATGTGTAGTGGAAGCGTGTTGAACAGTCTCGGGCCTCTGATGTTAATAGAGTTCTCTCTCAGAGTACCTGTTGCAACTCTGCATTTCAATGGGGGTATTCTGCACATCCTGCGATGCCTTCTGGTCTCATGTGATGTTATTTCTGTGTGCAGGCCAGCCCCTCTACTATTTTCCTCGTGAAAATTATTATGTATCTTTCCTGCCATTAGTTTGATGATCATTAGTTTATCATCCTGATTGCAGATCTAATAGTGCTATTAGGTCAACGTCTCATGGATTTGCAATCATTATTTCCTTTATATTTAGGTGTTCTTTTACCAGCACAGCAACGCCACCCTCTTTCCTAATCTTTCTGTCCCGTCTCCAAGCTAATTAGACCCTTGGGAATATGACCTCATTTAAAATATCATCTTCAAGTTTCGTCTCCATGAATGCAACATTGTCTGGCGTCTGCAGCTGTTTTACATCATGTTGTCATGTATTACATGCTATGTGTGAGTTTTGTCACTTACGATTGTCTCCCATTGAATGTTTGCAAGGTCTACATGTATTTTTTCCAGTCGATCCTCTTACTGTTGAAACTGAATTGATTGAATAACCTTTCCCGTTTGTTGGTTCTCTTGGACCTACTACCGTTATTAATGTTAGTTTGCACTTCAATGAGCTTATGTGTCTGAGAATATAGGATCTGAGATTGTAATATGTCTGATTAGTTCATCATTGTTTGTGAATGTCAGGTCTACTGTGTTTTCATTCCTAGTTGGTTCTGTAATCTGTTGGTTGAGCAAGAATTTGTCACATCATCTCAACCGTTCTCTGACCTGTGGTTGATTATTTCCAGGTTGATTTCCTGCTATGATATTATTGTTTGCCATTCTCCATCTTAAAGTGGGTAGATTGAAGTCTCCAAGAAAGGTAATATCTGGAACTGGGTTTACTAGGTTATCAAGGATGTTCTTTATTTTGTGCCTCTGCTCTGTGAATTCCTCAACCGTTGTATCTGGCAGTGTATATATTAGAATAATAATTAGGTTTATTTTTTCTACCTTGATTCCAAGTATACTTTTGTGTGACCAATCTGTGAACTCGGAATATTTTGAGACTATTCATATTTGCACTTATGTACTGAATTTACATGTTCATTGTACCTCTACCACCTCATTGGTTGAGTGTAGTAGCTCTGTGAATACACGGTCTTCTTTAATATACAGCCCTACTCCTCCATTTGACCTAATTTCTCTATCACATCTATATAAATTATAATTTGGCATCCCGATTTCACTATCCATGTAATCTTTCATATGAATTTTTGTGAATGCCCCAAATATTGAATTTGACTATTAGAAAGCCATTTATGAACTCGACTTTATTTCTCGATTGACTTTAGGCCTTGTATGTTTGCAAATATAAATGATTTTTCTACATTGTGTGTCACTTCTGGTGGGTTTTCAGTTCTACTCTCTCTCTCTCTCTCTCCTGACAGCTGAGTGGACAGCGCTTCAGATTTGTAGTCCTGAGGTTCCGGGTTCGATCCCGTAGAGGTGGAAAAAAATGGGCAGTTTCTTTCACCCTGATGCCCTGTTACTTAGCAGTAAATAGGTACCTGGGAGTTAGACAGCTGCTACAGGCTGCTTCCTGGGGTTGGGGGAAAAAAAAAAAAGAGAGAGAGAGGCCTGGTCGAGGACCAGGCCGCGGGGATGCTAAGCCCCGAAATCATCTCAAGATTACCTCTCCACCCTGATCCAATGTGTGCTATATAGTACTCGGATGGGGATCAACATAAGGATTTGGGATGTGACTGGGGGAAGGAATGGTGCTCAACCAATTTGATGGTTGGGGATTGAAAGCAGACCTTCATGAAGCAAGACCGTCACTCTATTGCCCAGCCCAAGTGGGTTGGGTGAGCTGCCAATGTCTCCTAAGATAACATTTGATACTGGGTTTTTAGGTTCTAAAGGGCATTTTCGGTAATTTTTATCTTCCCATTTAACTTCCTGCCCGAAAAACTGCACATACTAGTGGCTTTACAAGAATGTAATTACTATGCTATGTATCCTCACAATCCCAATGTACCTTCTTTATATATATATATATATATATATATATATATATATATATATATATATATATATATATATATATATATATATATATATATATATATATATATATATATATAAATAAATTACCATGTAGAAGTACAGTATTGGGATAGATTGCTTTTTCACAATTTTTTTAGTTTTAAGTCTGTTCCTATACAGTACAGTACTGTACTGATTTCATCTCTAAGTCAATGCTTTCTAGTAATTTCTTTGGAACCAGACATGTTTTCCAAGCCTTTGTCTCCATTTTGGTATAATATGTGGGTACCTTCATTTAGAATTCCACTATATTTTGCATTTTATCTTGTTTGTATTGTCTACTAGCAACAAACATGCAAAATTAATTTAATTAAACAACATGCTTAATTATCTGTAGTCTCCTCGTAACTATATTCAACTTGATTACTACAAACCCTTCTATGTCACAATGGTATTTTTTATTCAGTTGAATAAGAGTTTTGCAACCTAATGGAGGCATGTCTTCCTCTTTTTTGGTAAATACAAGATTGAGCAATGATAGAACAACCTCTTCCTTTATTCTCATGGAATGCTTAACATGCTGAAGCCGAGCCAAAATTTCTTAAAAACGCTTAAAGACATTTGTGACCTGTACAAGATTTTCTTAATGTCCAAGACAATGACTCTCTTCGTTGGCTGTGCCAGACCTTCGGGACCCCGGACGTGGATCTCTTCGCGTCGGTGTGGTCGCGGAGTCTCCCGGTATACGTGGCGCCCTTTCCCGACTGCAAGGCCGGGAAAGGGCGGCCACGTATACCGCGTATACTTCTGTTGTGGTAAGAAGTCTGTTATGATTGGTTACAACAACAAATTATGAGAAACTATTGGTGTAGGCTGTTATGGTTAGCATTTGAATGAGAAATCATGTGTCACAACTGTATGAGTAGGCGCTGTTGTCTTATGTAAAACCAGTATGGAGAGGGTTAAGTGTTTTCCCTTCCTGTTCATGCACCAGGTACATAATTTTGATTGTGTAGTACCTGAAGTGAGTGGGAACCACTACATATTAATATAATATCGATATTATTTGTATAAAACATTCATAAGAAAAACTTACTTCTGTCCCTGACAAGGAAATAGTGAATGTCATGGTCCTTATCAGGATCTCTGGCTTGTAGAGTGAACACTGGAGTGTTGGGCGCAGCATTAAGCTTTACTACCGCCTGCATGGGCAGTGGACGATTGATAAAGTAGGGCGGCTCATCATTTATATCTGTAATTTGTAGAATCACTCGCTGATTGTCCGTATCTGAAAAAAGAGGAAAATACTGTACTGTAACTGGTTCTACAATGTAGACAAAAATTATTACAAGAAATAGAAACACATACATGCACATAAATTATATTGAGAAAGAGGATGTTATATTGCAGTAGCCACAAATACTGAACTTGCAAAAACATACTAATATTCCTACATAACGAAAGTCATTAATAATAGAGCACTACAATGCAGTAAAGGCAGTGCATTTATTGTAGAAAGTAAATTTGATCTATGATCTAAAACATTAATGGGACATTTAAAAATAAATTAAATATGGTTTTTCCATGAAAGGCTAAAAAATATATTAAGTCATCTTTACTACTCTTTACTCCATTACACATCACACAATAGATAAATAACTATGGGATCTTAATAAACTTCTTTAACATCTAGGCTACGTAATTTCAAGTCGTATTTAACTAAGTTCTGTACCTTGGCCGGTAGGCTATGTAATCACATAGGCTAAGCATGATTCCAGATCATGCACATGAGAAAGAAAGCTGGGTGTACAGTATGGGCAAACAGACCCAACAGGCAGACCAGCATCAATGTATACATCTGTGTGTGTAAAGTTACATCAGCACACAAACACATTCATACACCTAGCACACCAGCCACTAACACCTCTCTCTTCACACCTGTAAGGATAACTGCTCGCATGTACCAGCTCACACATTAGCCCATATATCTGCTCACACACCAACCCTCACACAAACCCCTACATCAGCCCATATATCCACTCACAAACCAGTCCACATATCTGTGAAATTATCCACATGCACACTGCTCAAACTCGCACTTTCTATAGAGTATATACTCACAACTGATGCCTGGTTTTCCGGAGTAGCAGCGAGGGTTAGGCAGCAGGGGAGAGAAAAACAAGAAAGAAAACATAGGTTAATACCGACACCAAAAAGCAGACACATGTACAGCAGGTCATTGAATATTGTAACCTTCTACAAGTTAGTAACTAGTGTTACACTGTTCCAATTGTGCACAAAAAATTAAAAAATAAGTCTCCTAACAAAACACTTTTGTTTATGGTAACTGATAAACTGTATTTCTAAACACCATAATACAATACCAGAGTTATCTGGGAGTCTACCGAATGACAGGTGATAATTAGGCTTGGATAATGTCTGGAAACATGGATAGTTTCAGCAAATTAATATAGGAAAGATAAAAATGCACTTGTATTAATAAAAAAATGCAGTATTAATATTATATATATATATTATATATATATATATTTATTTATTTAGATTTATATTACTGTACACTTTTGTCCAACACAAACTATATTGGGTCCACCACTGGAAGCATAGATGCAATGATAGGATTCTGGTGTGGTTTTAAATTTGTTGTGACTGATTACAATAAAACATGACAGGAGACTTCAGGTGGAGGGAACATATTCGCTGGACCAAAGTGAGTCTCAGAAATTAAAAACCTAAACCTTTGGTTTATATGCATTTAGGTTTTACTTTCAGGGAAAGCAAACGGCACAACCCAGCTTCTACATTATGAAATAACTGGAAAAAGAAGCCATTAACAATTCAATGAAAAACAAAAAGAGTACTGTACAGTATTTACCAGACAAATAATGCCATAAAATTATGATCTGCAAACGTGCAGAATTGTTCAAGTAAATTTTAAAGTACTGTATTGTTAAATGCCATAAATTTAATGTTCAACTTTTATATTACGATGACACTCATTTCAATTAAATTGAATGTGCACAACATGAACAGAATATTATGGAACTTGGTTAAAAAGCAAATATGGTTTATTAATAAAAGAATTTAAAATATAAAGTTACAGAGCTACAAAAGCTGGTGAATTAGACTACCAAGCAGCGTGAGTTATTAGTATTTATTTAGGTGCGAGAAAAAATTGAAAAAACATGTGCAGATATATATTTATATAAAATGTAGATAACCACCATTATTTACAAAGAGGACTGAAGACATCAAGAGTGTAAAGCAATCACAGACAGGAAAATGAGTGGAAGAACACACAGTTAGAGGGAAAGGCTGAAACTCATATTGTCACAATTTTCATGAAACACGAGGCAATCCCCTGACAAAATAAATCCATACATCTGCAGGCGATTCACAGCTCCCTGTACAGAAAAGATAACTCTGTATCTCTGCAAAAGTGTTAAAACAAGAAATAAATTCTCGATATAGTGATTTAAAAAACAAATATTTTTAAATACCAGTACTATGTATAAGCAGATTTTGTTCTCCTTACTGTAAATTTGTAAAGCCTGATGTCAGGCTAGGCTGTAGAGTGAAATCTCACACAACTGGTCACATTTTCATTACCTGGAGCATACCTGGAGAGGGTTCTAGGAGTTCTTCTACTTCCCGAGCCCGGCCTGAGGTCACGCTGTTGCTTGGAGCGGCCCGCAGGCCCACATATCCACTACAGGCTGGTTGGTCCAGCATTTCTTGCATGAACTTATATAAGTGCCTCTTGAATACACCCATCTTTGTTCCGGCAATATTTCTAATGCTTGCTGGGAGGGTGTTTAATAGCTGTGGACCTCTGATGGTCAGTGTTCTCTGATTGTGCCCATGGCACCTCTACTACTCACCAGTTCCTTTCTACATTTCCTTCTGTACCTTTTGCTCCAGTATGTTGTTAATCTACTGTGCAAATTTGGGACCTGGCCTTCAAGTATCTTCCATGTACATACAGTATTATTTGATACCTTTCATCTCCTTTTCATAGAGTACATTTTGAGAGCTTTGAGATGGTCCCAATAATTTAAATGTTTTATCATTTCTATGCGTGCTGTGTATGGTCTTTGTACAGGTATTTCCTCACATTCGGAGATCTCTCCCTCTCAGAAAGGGGAAGTGAGTACCGAGTAATACTCAAGACAGGACAGCACCAGTGATTTAAATAGTATTAGCATTGCTGTGGAATCTCTGGATTTGAACGTTCTCCTAATCCATCCTATCACTTTCCTGGCCGCCACTATATTTGCTCGGTTATGTTCACTATATGTTAGGTCGTCAGACATCATAATTTCCAGATCTTTTACATGCTTTCCTCCTATGAGTAGGTCTGACTGTGTCTTGTACCCTGTGTTTCGTTTAACTTCTCGTTTCCACCATGCCTAACTACAGTGACAGCTCGACTTACGATTACCCCGACTTACGATAATTTTGAGTTACGATATAAATTTGATCAGAAAATGTGACTCGACTTACGATAGTGTCTTCGACTAACGATATTCGTTGATACGCGTTCGGGTCGGCCGAGTGCATGGTTCCTGGTCGCATGGGCAGACCTGCCTCAGTTCACCAGAGCCGCCCGCTTAGTGACAATCACGCTAAGAAATTCCATTATTCTGGTGATTTTTTGTTTTTTGAACACTGAAGTAATTATTATATTTCATGCCATGGATCCCAAGAAAGTCAGTGGTAAGGTTAAAAATAGGAAACACATGTGAGGATGACCACAGAGGAAAAACTAAGAGATCATTAGTAAACATGAAAATGGTATGAGGGTTGTTGATGTAGAGGATGTCCCTTCCTCATTTATTATGAAAATGTGTAGAGCATGGGAAGAACTGCCCTTTTGCTGAAACAACTCGCCCAAATCAAGCTGCAGTAGGCCATTGTCTTAACCTTTTCATTGACACTGTGATGCATCACTACAGACAAATGTCTAAAAGGTTCGTTCAGTGAATGTCAGGTAGGCTGCTACATTTTTTATATAAAAACAAAAAAAATAAAATGAAACAATACAAAAAATTAAAAAAAAAATGGAAAACAGAAAAAATGTCTAAAGGGTTCGTTCAGTGGATGTCAGGTAGGCTACTCCATTTTCTATAAAAAATAAAAAAAAAATGAAAAATAAAAAAAATTTAAAAATTTGAAGATGATGATGTCTAAAAGTTTTGTTCAGTGAAAGTCACGTAGGCTGCTCCATTTTCTCTAAAAAATTGAAAAAAATTGAAAAAATTGAAAAAGGAAAAGCAATCAGTGCCTGATGTTATAATGGAAGGGAACTCTCCTTCCAAACACTAACACCTCTCCTCCTCCTCCTCAGTCTTCCATACGCCAACAAGAGTCATCAATAAAGGTACTCAATAACGTGTACATATTTTAGTACTAAAGATTTGGGTGAATTAGGTATAAAATTTATTTTGAAGTTAATTTTTTGGGGAGTGTGGAACGGATTAATTAAATTCTCATTATTTCTTATAGGAAAATTCTTTTCGACTTACGATATTTTGACTTACAATACGTCTCTGGGAACGGATTACTTTACCATCGTAAGTGTACCCCCACTGTACCTGGAACTTGTCACCGTTAAACATCATGTTATTTTCAGCTGCCCAATCAAAGACCTTATTAATATCTGCCTGCAGTTTTTTAGTGTCTTCTACAGAGGAAATTTTCATTCTGATATTTTTATCATCTGCAAAGGATGACACAAAACCGTGACTAGTATTTTTGTCTATATCCGAGATAAGAATGAGAAATAGCAGTGGTGCAAGGACTGTGCCCTGGGATAGAGAGCTTGTCATATGCATATATTTATAATATTATATACATATATATTTATAATACAGTGGAATCTCGAATGACGAACGTCTCAATTACAAGCATTTTGAATAACGACTGCGCCCATCGCCGACAATTTGTTTCGATTGGCGAGCACGCGTTTGATTAATGAGAAAACCACATGGTGCGTTCCCGCTGCTTCTCGCACACTCAGATGCCTCCAACAATGCTAAACACTAAAAAGCCCCGAAATCATCTCAAGATAACCTCAAGATAAAGCAAATAATTTTTTTTTTAAGATGCTAATGATGCTGGGATGTAAAGGAGTGACTGCTGTGATGTTGCAAAGCATTGAATTTTTGTTGTAGTTTAAGAAAAATAAATGAAAAAATTTGACAAAAGAACAAATGTCAAAAAAGGTTCGTTGAATGTGTCAGGTAGGCTGCTCCATGTTAATTAAAAAAAAAAAAAAAAATTGAAAAAAGGAAAATGTCATAAAGGTTCATTCAGTGTATGCCAGGTAGGCTGCTCCATTATTAATAAATAAATGAAAAATACAAAACAAATTGAACACATTTGAAACAAAGATTGTCATAATAGAGCATCCTACCTGACAAACACTGAACGAACCTTTATGACATTTGTTCTTTTATCAACTTTGTTCACTTTTTTTTCATTTTTTTTTATAGCAAAAGGTTCGTTCAATGTATTTCAGGTAGGCTGCTCCATGTCTCTTCAATAAAAAAAAATGAAAAAATTTGAAAAAAGGAAAAAGGTCATAATGGAGCATGCTACTTGACAAACACTGAATGAACCTTTATGACATTTTTCCTTGTTTCAAATTTGCTCATTTTTTTTTTTTTAAAGAAACATGGAGCAGTCTACCTGAGATACACTGAATGAACCTTTTGCTATAAAAAAATGGAAAAAATGTGAACAAAGTTGATAAAGGAACAAATGTCATAAAGGTTTGTTCAGTGTGTGTCAGGTAGGATGCTCCATTATTTAAAAAATCGAATATCATATTGATGTTTTTCGATGGTGGAATGGATCATTTTCATTTCCAATATTTTAAATGGGGAAATTCGTTTTGAAAGACGAGCATTTCACATGACGAGCTCGGTGCCGGAACAGATTAAATTCGTTAATCGAGGTTCCACTGTACTGTACTACATTATGTATATATTTCTATTTACTATGCACAATAAATAATGCACATTTTAATTTGAACAATTCTGTTTATGTACTGTACTATCTAAATGTACTATGTACTGTATGTACTGTACTACCTAAATGCAGCTATCAAA